GTTGTACATTTGCTGTTATGTTAAACTTATATTAAAGTTTTTCTTCATTATCCATTCAAGCCGTCTCCAACCATTATTAGTCTCAAAGTGGGTTCCACGTCATCGAATTTGAATAACCCTATTTAAGGTTTTTACTCTGGATACGAAAACATTATTTGATATGAGAGTTAGTCCAAAAAACGTAGTGATTCATTAAAAACATTTACATCAGTGATTGATTTTATATTACTAATGTTGTAACAGCATTACGAGGATACTTGAATAAAAATGGTATACTTAACAAACGCAAGTGCGTATGAAAACGTAAAGGAACTTGTTCGATAGTATCAAATTTAAGAAAAAATTCTAAAACGCAACTTGATTCTGATTACCAGATTACACAAGTGATTAATTTACATCGCTACAAACCTATAGTAAACAAATATCTATAATCACTAAACATTTTCATATAGCTATAAAACTTGTGTATTCATATCGTAAAATTGTTCAAAACACTGGAACCTTCCTTTCTAGACAAGTTGTTTCGACACTATGTCTGCTTTCGTTTTGCACTTGATGTAGGCCTCGTACCAAAACCAACATACATTAAAAATCTTATTTCTGAGAGGGGAGGGGTTTTCATTTGTAATATGTTCTTATGAAAAGTCTTAAAAGAGAAATTAAAGCTTGAATAATAAACATTTATATCATTTTGAACAAATATGTCACTATTGCAATCACATTATTCACTTCAGTAGTGTCTGAATAACGTAATGGCTTCTGGTATCTGAAATTTTATATAGCAGTTGCTTTTAAGAAATACCCATGAATTAACAGACACCTGGAACAACAGCATAACCCTTTGTAAAAATCTCGTATCTTTCCATACAAACTTGACTCAAAGGTACTTTTACATTAAAAAATACCAGTTAGTGTATTAAATTAATTAATGTATTTATTTCGATAGATAAAATCAACCAGAGTAAATGAGAAGATAAAACGAATGCTCTAAACGAGAGTCAGTTTTATAGTAATTTGGGGACTCTATGACATCGTTTTTGTTTAACTACAAACGTTTGAAACAGAGAAAATAAAATGTACATTTATGAGAGCATTTTATTTTTGTTTTGTTGATTTCATTATTGATACCAATATTTGCGGATTTATCTGACATAAAAAAAATTCAGGACTCTGCATTTAATGTTTTTAAATAAATTAAATTATATGTTAACTTAATACATTATCTGGCCACCAGGTGTCGTAAAACAGTATAATCTAAAATGTCAAACAGTGGTAAGTAATTTTTAAAATGGAGAAAAGCATCAAATCATCTAATTTTTTTTAGATTCTGAAAACGGTAATTAACGTGATTTTATTAGTCATTATTTATCAAAAATGATTTAAGCTCTTCACTCTCAATTGAAATACCCGCATAAATGCTTTCTATCTTTAACAACCTAACACCTATTATGAACATAATCCATGGGAGAACCGGAGGATACACTTCTACAAATTCATATAACCTCCAAATACATTCATCTTTTTATTACATTCACAATATCTTACTGTTATATTTATACATAAAACTCTTAAGAACAGATTACGTCTCAACATTTTTCTACAATACTGAAATAACTTTAAATTACTCAAAACTACATTTTTTTCTTTTTTTTTTTTAGTTTTCTTTTTATGAATTTCATTCTCTTTTTTCTTTTACGAATCAAACATATTAAGTTCTTTGTTGCCACAGCCAGTATTCTATGAAAATCATAGGGGTAAACACAGTCATTAAGTATAATATTTTTGTATACAGTTATTTAGCATATACATAATGTTTAGATATTATGTACAACAGAAGATAACTGTATAACTTTTCGACTTTTGCGAAAAGCAAAATTTACTGACTTATCTCATCAAAATAGAGACGTTATGGAATGAAGTGACGGTTTCGAGGTAGCATTTGAAACAGAAGGCTTAGGTTTATGATACGCCAAGTCATGTCGAGCAGGTTGGTTAGAGTCTCTTTGTTGATCGAACTCCCTCTGATTGGTATCTCCATCATCAAAAATCTTGGCACTGTACTCTAAAGCCTTAGCCCGGAGCGTAGCTATGCTGTTACACCTCTGTTCTTCCCTATTCGATAGTGGATTAGAAAGGTTGTTGTCCTTTATCGACATGCTTTCTAGAGATGAGGAGTCGCCGCTAGAGGTAACTACATTCTGCTGTGTTCGTTCTGGTCCAGCTTCGGCTTCCTGACTCTTCTCCTCCTCTTCGTCTTTGTCCAAACTTCTGTTCGAGTCCTTCAGTTTGTCGGCTGCTTCCTGGGACTTCCGGTGCATGCCTGTTTGCGACAGATGACCAGAAGCCGTCAGTGTTAGGCCTAAGTTCCGGTCTTCATGATGGTTGACCACTAAGATGGGTGATAGGGGTGGGATTTGTGACATATGATAGAATAAGAGTAAAGAGAGTGGCCTGGATACTGCCATCTTTCATTTATATTAATGTGTATGTGTGTTTATGTATGTGCAATTGCGTGTGCTTCAACATGATAAAATCCGTGTTTCAACCTTTTAGCAATAAGACTAATAAATTATCTGTTGTAAGGCAATGTTTTGTCTTCGTATACGTTTTGAGCTGAAGAAGTTTAAACGAGAATGGATAAGATGTTTATTAGAATTTAAGATAAGTAATATGTCATTTGTCATATCAATAATGCAGGATGTTTCAGACCTAACAAAAATGGTTAAAATTATGTTAAGCTGCAGATGATTATTTTAGCATTCCTTTACGGACTTCGAATCAGAGGTGCATATAAATAGCATTTCAGATTTATATTTTTGTCAAACACAGTCTTCGCCCACAAGAGTTCTGGGTTGGTATTAAACCACTGGTTTTTACATCACTTTTTATACTGCATACAAATAGTTTTTCAGACATACTTTCCTTGGCTGCCATAATTCATCTCTTCTCATGAAGTCAGGTATTGAATTAAAAGCTTCCTGGGCAGTCACGTATTTTAGACAAATGACAGATTTCAAATGATATTCTTACACACACCCCTGATTAGAAAGCTTTAGGAGATTTATTCAGAAGAACGTGAAGTCGAGCTTTGTTTTATTATTCTATTAAGCTTAAAAAGCCTCATTGCTTCGCCAGCTTAAGTGTTTTAAAGTAATGCTTTGAGAATATCATTTTTATATTAACGCGTATGGTATCAATGGCGAAGATATACCGAATCAAGGAGTGGGGCAGTAGTTTGTTTAATGTAAATTAGTACTTATTAGTTTATAATATACATAAGCAATATCTTATTACACTGTTTCCAGTTTATAAGTTGTGTTTTCATATCTTATAGGTATTCAGCTCTTTTTCTCCTGTTAATTTGGCGCATTTTTAGGTATAGCTACAACAGCTACTTAATTTGGGTTTCCGCTGAAAGTAATATTACGTGTTTTGCTTTTCAAGCAACTACAAAGCACTACATGTCAGCGTAACACAATGGTAGCCTATTGTAGGAGGAAACAAAATATCAAATTAGCTGATATGAATAAAACGCCAATCTATTGGAAACAAAAGTCAAATAATATTATTTATTTTTATTTTACTGCGTCTAAATTTATAGTGTTATGTCAACATATATAGCTGGAAGAGTGTCAAGATGTTGCATGCTTTTGAATAGTTCGTTTAGTCATTACACGTGTTATATTGCCCAATAAATCTATTGTAAACACGTAAAATCTACAATATCATAATATGCGTGTTTATGGGGTATTTATGAGTTTTAAAACGTTGTGAATAGTTTACCTGAAAGTTGCGTTTCGTGTCCAATTTTAATTTTCTCGAAGTTTCAACATCTAATCTGTTTTAAAGGGTTTTTAGATTATTCAACTACTGTTTTGACTCTAACAGTCTTGTATACATATCATAAGGAGCATAGGGAAAAAATCCACCAGAATTTATAGCTCTAGAAGAACAATCTAGTTACGAAGTGAAATATCAAACAGTGTGTTATTTACCGGAGTTTGTGGGAGTGAAATATGGATAGTTTAAGCCTCGTTTTCGACACCATGTGCATTAGGTAAGGCTGGAACCTTGAAGCAATGCACCAAAAATGTGTTAAGCGAAAACGCGGTTTATTGTGGTTTAGAATGAAATCATTTTAATGATTTTATTTTTAATTGTTACAATGAGGTTACACTAACTATAAAAGCTCTTGAAAATTTGAGCCACCTGCCGTAGCCGGAACACATTAAATGATTAATAAATACTTCTAATTTAATAAACAAAGTTGTAGTTACAGGGTGCAAAAATCATTCATTTATAACGAAAATCGTACGTTAACAAGTATATGTGTTGTATGTATATACATTTTAGTTAGTACAATCGAAGATAATGTGAGACAGAACAATGGAGGCTGGAAGGGCAACATGTTTACGAGAGTAAAGACGATGATTGGTGTATTATTAAGCAGTAAAAGTTACCTAAAGACGAGAGTAAAGATGAGGATTGGTGTATTAATAAGTTACCTAAAGACGAGAGTAAAGATGAGGATTGGTGTATTAATAAGTCACCTAAAGACAAGAGTAAAGATGATGATTGGTATATTAATAAATTACCTAAAGACGAGAGTAAATATGAGGATTGGTATATTAATAAGTTACCTAAAGACGAGAGTAAAGATGAGGATTGGTATATTAATAAGTTACCTAAAGACGAGAGTAAAGATGAGGATTGGTATATTAGTAAGTTACCTAAAGACGAGAGTAAAGATGAGGATTGGTATATTAATAAGTTACCTAAAGACGAGAGTAAAGATGAGGATTGGTATATTAATAAGTTACCTAAAGACGAGAGTAAAGATGAGGATTGGTATATTAATAAGTTACCTAAAAACAAAAGTAAAGATGATGATTGGTGTATTAATAAGTAGTCAAAGTTACCTAAAGAGTCTCTTATTTTGTACGTGAAGCTTTCAAAACCATCAGTATAATAAACTTTCTCGTAATATATCTAATCAGTAATTTCCTGGGCAGTATCAATATCAGAATACAGAATTCACTTACTAAATTAGGTGGCCTTAATTAAAATTCATTGGTGTTCCGTTAGAATGGTTAGTTTTTGTTTCTGATATTACTTGAAAATTGACTTCATGAATGTACATAAAAACTGTCATTGGTTAAGGTATTAATGCAAAAACAGAACTGAAACAAACAATTAATCAAAAGCTTAATTTTAGTGAACATTGTATTATATATTACGTAATTTACTGTGTTTTATAAAAACTATCATCGTAATCATAATTATTTTTTTTCTAGCTATAATTTTCCTTTGATCAAGTATGTACAATTGTTTAGAGCCTGCTGCGTTTCGTTAAATTTTGAATCACATTTTCTGGAAGTTCGGGTGGAGTCTGTTGCATACGTGTTCTGCGTGAATCATGAAGGTTAAGCGATTAACCTCAGGCCAGATGATGGGCTGTTTCAGCGATTAAAGTTAACTTTTGATAGATCAGGGAAAGCTTTACCCAGAAGTAGGTGAAGCTAAAACTAGAACCTAAACGACTGGTGAAGGCTAATGTTTATGGCAAAACGATATGTTAGGGTGTGTCTCTCTTCCGGGCTTACCGCTGCCCATATGCATCGTGTCTTTGCTGGTTCCCAAATCAAATTAATGAACTATTAGGATAATTTCCTTTATTACGATGTGAGATAAATACTTTGATCACTATGCATCCCTTCGCCAGATACGTTGCCAGGGGTAGCTACTGGACATTAGCAGTCCTCCCCCCCCCAAAAAAAAGGTTTAGAAAATATACCTTTTTAATAGCATTCTCGTGTTTTTTTACAACACAAATTATTAAGCCATTTTCTCACCAGCCCCCACCCCTATCCTCGCCTTCAACGCTACCTTTCTGGTATCAAGATTAATTTACTTAGAACTAGTTTGTAAATTTTATTAGGTACTGACGATTAGAGGGAACTTAAGAAATGTGTTTTTGTTTACGTTTTTATGTAAAGAAAATAACTCGGAGCAACTGAAATTTTGTGTAAAGAGTTCTGTAAACTAATGTATATCGTAAGTTGACTCTTGTTTGATCTCTGAAACGTAAGCTGTATTACCTTTGTTGACATTCTAGAGACCTGAAATTCATTTCAACTTAAGGAGAAGTGATCCCACGGTTTCTACTAATAGCTGATATTCAAAAGTATCCCTATTGACAGGGTAAGTATCAAAATATACACAATACTGGAACACATATATATATCTTAACAGTACATAAGTCTATTCTTAAAACTTTTGAAAAGGCCATAGGAAAAGTTAATAATAAAAGAAAAACATTATTTGAAATAATCGCAAAAAAAATTAATTACTTAATTACTTCTTCATATAAAATAAACGAACACAAACGTCTCATAAGATTAAAAACAACGATTGATGTTTTCATATGTAGAAAAATATCGAATCATTAATAAAAGTACATACATATATATAAATATATATTTGAGAAATGTTAATTTATGACATGCAATGGAAACATTTTTACTAGAGCAACAAGGCGGTAAATAATAACTACAAACTTTGTTAGAAAGAGTACATATTAAACAACTATAATGTGAATATAATATATAATACCTAACATATATATAACACTATAGTTGTTAAAACGCAGACTTCAAATGTAAGAAAACTCGTGTGTCTCCAAGACAACAGCTGTACTCACCAAGCAACCAAGGAGCGCACGAAAGTTCTCCTTCCTTAGTGCCTTTCAGGATACTCTCTGGAAGAGGAAGTGAGTGTCTGACCATTGCCCCGTAAAGTCCATATTCAGCCATGATGGTACTTTTACCCCAGCACTTCTCCGTTTTTCGCCACTTCGCCCGGCGATTCTGAAACCAAACCTGTGAGTAAAGAAGGAAAAAAAATCCAGGTATTTTAACCTTGATGAAAAATATTTTATTTTCTCCTCTATTTGAGTATAATCTCACGATGATTCATCACTGAAGACTTTATATTAGTCTAATTTTTTCATCTGACTTATTGTGACTAAAACTATGAGGCCACTGAGTGAAACAAAACAATATTCCTCTAATACAGATGTATTTTCTGACAACTAACAAAAATACCGAATATACTTTCTTCACTAAGCCAAATCATACTGATCTTAACACAGTGCCTCCTATACTCTCTAAGGAAGAGAAAAGAGAGAGAGGGAGGAAATGAGGCAAGGATTTTGGTTAAACGACAATAACATAAATTTTTGTCATGAACATTTAGGTTGAAATAAACACAAATCCGGTTTCCATTACATCGCCATACTGTGTTTAATTCAACAGTCGTGTTGAAAATGTCCGAGAAAACGACGTTTTGTCTAATCCCCTCCTGTCCAAAAGCAACCCCTCAATTAAATATACCTTTGTATTTTTACATAAGTAGAAACAGTGTACTACGTGCAGCTTTATTTTAAAATGTCTGACAGATCAATTTTTAGGACAGTTTTGAGGTGTATTCCTGTTTACATAGAACTCCTAAACTTGTAAAAGTTTTGATTCGGTAAAAAGTCACATAATAATAGACTGGCCTCCAGTTGATGGGTAAACTAGCTGTCGAATGATCAATCATGTCAGTAATCAGATATCCATTCAGTTATTTCTCTGCTAACCAGTGAATATGTCACTAGTTCATTCAACTATTAATTGATTATACAGCATATTTTGTAACAAATAAGATCATTATTATTAGGACGGAATAGAAATACACTTACTATTATCACACTGGGAAATCTGGGAAATACGTGTTATATTAAACATCTACATAAATAATCTGTATAATGGACAGGTTCTATGGACATCATGAACGAGTTATTAGAACAGCAAACAATTTTATCAGACAACTGTAGAAAGAT